CTGGGGCAGTTTTGGGCCCCTCACAAGAAGGACATGGAGGGGCTGGAGCTTGTCCAGGGAAGGGAACGGAGCTGGGGAAGGGGCTGGAGCAGCAGGAGTGGCTGAGGGAGCTGGGGGGGCTCAGCCTGGAGAAAAGGAGGCTCAGGGGGGACCTTCTGGCTCTGCAACCCCCTGACAGGAGGGGGGGTCGGGCTCTGCTCCCAGGGAACAAGGGACAGGAGGAGAGGGAACGGCCTCAAGCTCCCAGGGGAGGGTTAGGTGGGATACTGGAAAAATTTCTTCATGGACAGGGTTGTCCAGCCCTGGCCCAGCTGCCCAGGGCAGGGGTGGAGTCCCCATCCCTTGGAAGTGTTCAGAAAACTTGTGGATGTGGCCCCTGGGAACATGGGTTAGTGGTGACCGTGGTGGTGCTGCTGGGCTGACGGTTGGACTTGGGGATCTTTTCCCACCTTAACAATCCTGGGATTCTATCTAAAGTTATTCAGTAGCTCAGACCCATCAATATTCCACATTAGAATTGGAGGTGAGAGTGTCTTAAGGAAGGAATTTTTCCCTGGGAGAGTGGTGAGGTGCTGGAATGGATTTCCCAGAGAAGCTGTGGCTGCCCCAGCCCTGGAAGTGTCCAAGGCCAGGTTGGACAGGGCTTGGAGCAACTTGGGCTGGTGGAAGGTGTCCCTGCCCATGGGGTGGAACAAGATGAGCTTTAAGGTCCTTTTAGATGATCTTTAAGGGCCCTTCCAACCCGAACCATTCTGGGATTCATGTCTATGACACAGAAAGTGTTTTTTCTCAGTTAAAATACAAAGAAGAGCTTTTCTTTCCTCAGCTGTGCCAGGGCTTAGTTTGCCCGTGTAAGGAGAGAGGATTAATTGTAGCTTTTAGGCAGCAGTGAAAATGCCCCGCGGAGAAAGAGCCTGATGAGTTCGTGTGGTGGTTGCAGGCAGAGCTGGGGGCACAGGGCAGAGCTCAGCCTGGGCACAGTTCCACGCACAGGGGGCATGGAATTCTGAAACCGGGAGCGGGGAGAGGCGGGGATATGAATATGCAAAGGGAGCAAAACCATCCCCAGAGAAACCAGCGCTGGCTGAAAACCCTGGGGGTATTCCAGAGGCGGAGCAGCGCCGGGAAGCAGCGCTGTGCCAGCCGGGTTTGGTGCCCGCGGGCAGAACCGCGAGCTCTCTCCGCGCTCATTGTGTGCATAATCCTGACGCGAGCTGGGAAGGACTTATCCCCGCAAAACCGGCGGATAACTGGATGAAAGGGTTACATTATGCATCCCATTCTTCCTAATTAACTTGATTTGTTTTGGTGGGGTAATTAGAGGAGCGTATTAGGTGTTCTTTAGCAACAGCGCTCGCTCTCCGGGATTTATCCCGGGCCAGCAGCGTCCCGTCCCGTGTCCCGGCACACACACGCGTGGTCTCTCATTAGCTCCACTCTTTTCTCATGCAAATGCTTCCCGTTCTGGTTCCTTAGGAGAGGGATCCTCTTTGTGAAGGAGTACGTGAACACCGGCGGCTTTCCAGCCTCCCCACGCTACGGAAGGTACGAGGAGCGGCCGGGGGGGGACACTCGTGTGTCCCCCGCGTGTCACACACTCGTGTCACACACACACGGCCCAGCACGCAGCTTTGCCAGCTCACACCTCCCGCCCGGCTCCAGGGGCTGGAGCGCTCGGAGTTCCGCAGTTAATTAGCCCTGTTAATTGGGGAGCAGAGTTTTGCTGGGTGAGGACCCGTTGTGACAACTCATCCCTCTGTCCCACCGCTCCCGGGGGGCAGGGAAGGGGAGCGGGTTGATCTCCGAGGTGGATGCAAACACCACCCTGCAGGTTTTCAGGCTGCATATTTGGCCACCGCGAGGCTTCGCCGGGCACCTGAACGCGTAAACAAAGGGGTTGGGAGTGGTGAGCAAAACGTGGAGGTGGGGGGGTTCTCGCTCAAAAAAAGTTATTTTTCGAGTTTAAAAAAGTTAAATTAGGCCGTTTTCAAGCTTAAATCTTCGGTCTTCTGTGTTCTGCTTGAAGGTAACTGAGTGAAGCTGCTCCAGACTGGCCCAGAGCAGGGTTTGGCCCGATGTAAATCATCCTTCCAGTGCTGTGGCACCAGTTAACCCCAGTTTGATGCTTCCCCGCTGGCACTGAGCCTCCCTCAGCGCTGTGCTAGCATTCCTGGGGGAGCTGATTACAGCCTGGAAATCTCCAGCCTGTCCTGGAGCTCAGCAAAGCCACTGTCAGCAGCCCAAGATAAGCCAAATATCCAGGAGAGCCAGGCAGGGAGGGAACACTCAGCTGGGTGAGACTAGGGATGTGCTCCCTGCCTTTTCCTGCAGAATAGGGCAGGGTTTGGGAGTTCAGTGAGCAATGAAAACAGGTCCTATTTCCAGAGAACATCCAGAGGAGTGTTGCTGGTGAGTGTTTTGGAGGCAGGATTTCACAGCTTTGCTGGTCCAGCCACCGGTGCAGGATTTTGCCAGTGGAAAATATGCTCCCCCTCCTTGTATCCCTGCTCCCAGCCCACCTAATCCTGCCTTTTCTGACTTTTTAATGAGATAACCTGGTTGGTGGATGGTCTGATGGCTGGCAAGGGGTGGGAGCATGGGGTTGGGAATATACTGGAGAAGGGAGAGAGCAGAGGGAGCTTGCACTGCCCAAGTTTTTGGCTCTTCTCAGCCCCTTCCTGAGCTCCATTTCCCAGCTCCTGGAGTGGGACCCCCAGCACGGGCTGCCTGACCCTCTAACCAGCCCTGGAGAGGCATTTCCCTGATGGAAAGGGCAACACTAAATGAGGGAGCAGGGAAAGAAACTGCTTCCTCCTGCTCCCTCCCTCCTCCAGGATGTTCCCAATGTCCCTTAGAGGTGCAGGGTTGTAATTAAAGGTGATTAAATGTCCTTCCTCGTGTCCTATGCTGACCTGCTGGGAAGGAAACTTGGGGAGCTTCTCCCCAAGGAACAGGTGCTGGGACATTCCAGATCCCTGCATTCATGATTCATGATTCCAGCTGAGATTCTCTTCCTGTGTTTTCTCCATCTCCAGTGGCAGCCTTGTGGATCTGACTGATGTGGACAGAGCCAGCTACAGCCACCACAGTTACCTGTCCAGTGCTCCCCTGCACAGGTAGGACAGGTCAGGGCTGCCTTGGGGGGCTCAGCAAACCCTGACCCAGAAATGACTGGAAGGGTTTGATTTTCTGAGGATATTGGAGGGGGAGTTTGGTGGAACAGCAGCATGGAGGGATCTTTGGAAAATACAGTGACATTGCCTTGAAGTCAGAGAGGCCAGAGGAGGCCAGGAAGGTGATCAGAGGGATGGAGCAGCACTGCTGGGAGGAAAGGTTGAGAGAGCTGGGATTGTTCAGTCTGGAGAAGAGAAGCTTTGGGGTGACCGAATTGTGGCCTGCCAGGACCTGAAGGACCCTGCAAGAAAGATGGAGGGAGACTATCTCCAAGAGCCTGAAGTGACAGGACACAGGGAATGGCTTCAAACTGACAGAGAGTAGGTTTAGATGGGATATTAGGAGGAAATTCTTCCCCGTGAGGGTGGGGAGGCCCTGGCACAGGTTGCCCAGAGAAGCTGTGGCTGCCCCTGGATCCCTGGAAGTGTCCAAGGCCAGGTTGGACAGGGCTTGGAGCAACCTGGGCTAGTGGAAGGTGTCCCTGCCCACAGGAGGAGGGTAGAAGGAGATGAGCTTTAAGGTTCCTCCCCACCCAAACCACTCCATGATTCTAAGACCTGTCCTGCACCCCTGGGACAGCACCTGTCCCTCTGTACTGTCACTTGACACATGTGGGAGCTGGTTGCTCACAGGGCTTGGTAAAAGCCTCTGCCACCAGTGCTGGGAGTGGAACCAGCTGGTGTTGCAGAGGAATCCATCCTTCTGTCCTGCCCAGGTCCAGTGACCCCGTGTGCAGCTACTGCAGCCGCGAGATCCGAGACTGCCCCAAGATCATCATAGAGCACCTGAACATCCACTGCCACGAGTACTGCTTCAGGGTAAACCTCTCTGCTGCTTCCCTGAGCTGCTGGGAATGGAGGGGGAGGGAGGGTATTGGTGCAAATTCCATCCTCAGGCTTTCAGAGTGATGGATCCAGCGTGTGCCAAATGCTCGTGTCGCGTCGGGGCAAACGAAGTTGGGCAGTCCCAGGTGTTGGTTGCATCCCCCCAAGTTTTTCAGGGGCTGGAATAAATGTGTGTTAGAACAAGGAGGATTCTTTATCACTAGCAGCACACTCAGGACACCCTCATGTCGCTGTCCCTGGGGCAGACTTGCTGCTTTGTGGCCTCTGTGCCCCAACACAGGGCTGGCTGAAGCCTCAAAGCTTGCAAAGTTTACAGGGAAAGTCTGTGGGGATGGGGAGGGTGGGAGGAGGAGGGATGGGGAGGGTGAGAGGAGGAGGGATGGGGAGGGTGGGAGGAGGAGGGATGGGGAGGGTGAGAGGAGGAGGCCTCCAGGTCCATTTTGCTGTTTAGCCTCAAGGGTCACACCCTCAGCCCCTTACAAAACGATGCAGAGATTGTTCTCTCCTTGCTGTCATTACTGTGGGGGGCTTTGGTTGCTCTCTGACTTCCTTGTTTTCCCTTTGGCAGTGTGGAATTTGCCACAAAGCAATGGGAGATCTCCTGGATAAAATATTCATCCACCGGGACATTGTGCACTGCGACAAATGCTACGAGAAACTCTTCTAGGTGAGTTTGCAGTGCCCCTTTCTGGGGTCAGCAGGGTGTGAGAGCTCAGGGTTCCCTGACTGAAGGGCATTTAAACCCTGAGAGGTCCATGCTGGGATCTTCCTGTGGCCCTTCAGTGGGAAGCAGTGACCTTGTTGCAGAATTACACTCGAGCTGGTCCTGGGGGTGTTAGTTGGAGCCAGAATCTTGGTGACAAACAGCTTCCCGGGGGTGACAGGCAGGGGCTGGCTCGAGTGATGACAGAAGTGTCCCTCAGAGGTAGAGAGTCCTCTTGGGAGGTGATTAAAGGTCCCTCCCTGTGTCCTGGACTGACCTGCTGCGGGGGGTTTGGAGCTGTAACATTCCTCTGACAGGGAGCAGCACTTCGGTGGCAGGTGCAGCTACTCCTTTGTGTAAAGATCCTTTGAGAGGAAAACCTTTGGGAAAACTGGAGCTGGACACTCTGCCAACAGATCGGTGGGCTGGACACGGTTTGGTTTTGTCTGATTAGCTGGAAGGGGCAGGAGGCACCATGGCAGCTCCTGCACTGGGTTGTAGAGGCCTCCTGTCCTGCTGCTGCTGAGAGGAGGAGGGAAAGGGGCTCCTGCCTCACTGCTCCTTGTTCCTTGTAATGTGATGTGACTGGTGAGCCCATCCCTGCCCCACTGACCTCCATTCACCCCTCTGCGTTTGGAGATAAAAGAATTCATAAATATTACCAAATATCATTCATAAAAAAAGAAGACTGTTGCTGTAAATAGCTCTAGGTTTATGAAGTAGTTGTGCTTACTATAAAAGGGTACAACACTACTTCTGTCAAAATAAGTACATCTTTGCTTAAACTACAAAAATGTTGGGAAACCTGTTGAACTACTTATGTTTTATATGTGATTAAAAAGTTGAATTATTTGACAATAATGCAGTAGTTCCATTCAATGAATATAAGAATAACTTCAATGATCCTAGACGTACCTAATGGACGAGGTAGTCACAAAAAACAATTGTCTGATTTTTGCATGACATTTTCAGAATTATTAAAAATAGAGTCTTTCTTACACAACACGAAGACTATTGTTTTGTTCTCAAAGATCTAACATTCATTAATTCTCCTCTAATTGTTTTATGGGGATTTGTGGGCTGATAGATTTATCTTCCATTGTTTAGGAAAATCTGACAGTCATTAAATATTCTACTATTAATTTAGCAAAGTAAACGCTATTCAAACAGCGGTGCAAAGGGTGAATCTATTAATTACTTTTAAATAACTCTTATCTAGTCTTATACTGTGACAAAAACATACAGCGGAGATGTAATGGAATTAATACTCAAAGATAACTCAGATGGTTGTGGATATGAACCATGTCATGCTAGATTTTTTCTTTGACTGTGATCTGATTTTACATCCTTTGAAGCTAGTGATTAATAGTTTAGGGATTCCATCTTTTAGGGCAGCTTAGAACTGAGCTCGAACTTTCTGATGTATATAAATAAGGTCGAACTTTTCCTATTTTACTTAGTGTTTCAGATTCTTTTCTTTTCCAAAGAAATCTTATGGACAAAGCTGGGAGATCTTAGGATGATTCAAGTCGATTTAGGATGTAAAATAATTTTTGGTGCAGAGATTATTGGTTTGGCTAATTGTAAACCAATCCAGATGAGTTTTGTCGCGTCGCTTGAGCCATTTGAGGCTAAAACAATACAGTAGTGTAACTGTGGCATTCTGTTGAAAAATCTGTATTTTTTCCTGATGCAAACTAGCATTTGTGTATGTGCTGTATAATGCTGGAATAAGTATTAGTTAGATACTTACTTACAAGGTCACTTAGGGATTATCTATTTTAGTTACATTTGGACTTTAAGTGCTGCTAAATGATGGGGCAGATTAGGCAATCTTCTTTCAGGCAATATAGCTATATTTTTTATGGGCTCAAGAGCTCAAGAGTTTATTTTGGTGCTGAAATCTGATTGGGAGTTAGGCTTCTCTGCCTTTCAGTACAACATAAAAATTATAGGAATGGTCGTCACACCAAACACACTGACATGAGGAAAGCAAAATTTTCATAATGTCATTTCTATTTAGTAGTTTGTACTAATATTTTATTTACTAGTTTGACAATAGGTTTGAGCTTCTGTTTTCTGAGGAACCAAATTCTCAGAAATCTCAGAGTGCTCAGATAATAGACATTTGATTTGTTTGAGGAGATACACAGGGAGAGGGGTTTTAATTATTTTTATTTCTTAAATAACTTCATTCTTGAATGACATAATTTGAAACAAATAAGATATTTCACACTAGACAAAGCATTCATCTGAATTCCAGTTCTTCTTTAATATACTCAATATTAAACAGCCATTGGATAGACTACAGAACCTAGAGTGGGAGGTAAGAGCTTTCTAGGAGTTATCTTTGCACAAATTTGTGCCTTCTGAACATGAATCTTTACACAGTAGATTGTATAGACAGGCTATATAGAACTGGTCTATACTTCCAATTTAAATTTCTTGAAGACAGGACAGAATAAATGTATTTCTGTGCGTATGAGTATAGACTACTCATCTAACATGAATTTCAATTTTGAATGAATACCTGAAGTTGAAGGGTAAGCTTATTCATATGACCAATTTTTATTTTTTTCATTTCTTTGTTTTGAGGTAAAGACATAAAGCTCTAGAAGGCTTCAGCTAGATGATGTGTATTGATCAATACTTGTTATCTAAGTTCAGTCTGGGTTACTTTGGTACTGTTTCAATTGTAAATGAGTTTGAAAAGTGCAGTGAAATTTTATTTTTTATGTTTAGGATTTTTATAAATGTTTTATCCTAATTCCCCTTGTATGCTGTTTCCTCTCTAGGAAGTTTTTATGCATTAAGAAAAATTGTTTGGTTCCTCTGTCTAGTTGGAGCTATAAAAGACAGCAATGAAGCCATAAAAGGCAACAGCATTTGTTTGTCTCCATTTCATGTGTTTGTTATTTTGGCAGCTGTGCTGTTTCATTTTGCCCATCTACCAGTATCCATGTACTCGTGTATAAAAGGGCACATTAAAGTAATGGATTTTGTATTTTCTTAGGACTTGGAATACCACAAATTGAAATCCCAGAGGAACTGGTCTATACTTCCAATTTAAATTTCTTGAAGACAGGACAGAATAAATGTATTTCTGTGTGTATGTTTTCCTGTTTTACTTCCAATTATTTTTTCTATGTAGTCAAGCATCCTTATTTGCACTGTTGGGCTGTATTGACCCAATGTGGACTTGTGGCCCCCTTGTAAAATTCCTCAGAATTTTAGATTCTGAAAGATATCTCCTACGTTAAAGGTCTCTGAATATAAATAAAAAATACAGCTTTCTGATTTCGCAAGTGGAACTGATAAATGCATTTCATGTTAGTTACTCCCTGTCCACATACCAGTTCAAGCCAAACTGTAGATGTTCAACTTCTACACTTCATTTGACTGCAAACTCACAATTCACAAAAAGCCAAGAAAGTCCTCACAATGTTTTTTAATTACTACATGCAAGGAAATAATGAAAGAGGTAGGATAAGTGCAAACAGGTGTACTTTGACCACCCTTTAAAAATATTTACTCTTTTCTCCTTCTTTTTAAATAATGCTTATACAAACACTAACAGAAGGTGGCTCTCAAGGACTTTATCTGGCAAATTTTTTTTAGCCATTATTGGATAAAGTTTCTACTTCTAGACGAGGTGTGAAGTCTATCTGACACATACTAATTGCAATAGTAGTCAGAGAAGGGAACATTGTTTTTCAGGCTTGAAGAGACAGTGTGTTTCTGAGAACAGCTTCCTCCTACCATTTTGGTGTAGTTTTATTAAACTAAGGGCGAGATTCTGTTGAGCATGTCTATTTTTATTTAATATCTAATCTTAGCTGAATGATGTGGTCTAACAAATCAACATCTGCTGCTATTTACTCAATGACTGTGAAGGTCTGGATGATGATCTTGGGAAATACATTAGCACCAAACAGAACCCCTGCTTTAAAAATAGATGATTAATCATTGCTTTCTGAATAGCAAATGAGTGCTGTACTTGTCTTTTAACTTTCAACAACATCTCAGTTTCTTCACATCTGTTGTGGTTTTACTGTTGTTTTCTTCCCCATTGAGTCTTTTGGAATATTTAGGGAAATGGGGGATTCTGATTGGATTCTTTCTTTCCTTTCAAGTTTAACCCTGTGAATTCAGAGCTCTGTATGTTATCTACTAATGGATTCAGGAATAGAACCATAAAAGAACTAAAGTATAAAAGTGTTGAAACATCACAGTACTGAACATTATAGTGCCTAATTTTCAGACACCTGCTGATAACAAGAATTCACAGTTCTGAAGTAGGTACATAAGCTTCAATACCCAGGGAAAATTTTATAACAAGTGTATGGGATAGGAAATCTAGCATATGTGGAAGGATGACGATTATTTATAGCACAGAAAGAGAAAAAAGGACAGTAGCTAAATTACTTGAGTATTTCCTGCACCTATACCAGCAACTTTGTTTTACTAAAGCCTGTCTCTCGGTAGCAAAGACACTCTGCTGCCATTAGGGAAATGGGAGTTCCAGTGTTTGCTAGTGGAAGAGGGACTGAAGTCTACATCTCTCACACAGTATTAAGAAATAGCTCAATAGGTTGAAAACCAGTAGATTGAAAAATCAAGTACTAATACATCTCCTTTGGCAAATGGTTTAAGAAGTTTCAGAATTGCTGCTCATGTCCCTTATGTAATGCTTTTTTGGCAAAATCACAGAGTCACAGAATATGCTGAGTTTGAAGGGACCTAGAGGGGTCATTGAGTCCAATTCCTGTGCCTGCACAGGACCATCCCCAAGAGTCACACCATGTGCCTGAGAGTATTGTCCAAACCCTTGAACTCCGTCAGGTTTGGTGTTGTGATCACTTCCCTGGGGAGCCTGTTCCAGTGCTCAACTGCCCTCTGGGTGAAGAATCTCTTTCTAACATCCAACCTAAACCTCCCCTGACACAATTTCAGGACATTCCCTTGGGTCCTGT